GTATTTTTATTTTTTTTTATCTTTAATAGTGTACATAGTTTTTTATCTTAATAGTATACATAGTTTTTTAGTTTATTCTTGTGGGCTTTTTAGGAAGATAAGTATTTGATCTTACAAGCCATGATAATTTTTTACCTTTTTATTGAGCATATTTATTTCTGTTTTAGGTCTTGGTTAGAATTTTTCTAGAATGCTTGAAATAATAGTGTTGACAGCTAGCATATTTGATTGTAATGTATCTCAGTTTATTTCAGGAAGCAGATTGTGACATCACATCATTCTTTTAAACCATTTTGGATTGAATTTATTTGCCAACATATATTCTCAGTGACAATACTATAACTCAGCTGGCAATAATTTGCCAAGCAGATGTACAAATAAACCTAAACATTTGTAGATAGGGAGTGGACTTATGATCAAAAGTCATACTCGGTACCCACATTTCAAGTGTTTCTTGCTTGTGAGATGATGAAGTCTTAACAAAATGGAAAAATACTTGTTTCAGTGCTATGCACAAAAATACTTTAGGACTCCCTTTATAAGAATTAAAACCTAACTCAACTTATACACTATTTCCAAATCCTAAAAGCAGCTGATCTGTTTCTTACCTAAAATTTTGACAGTAAGTAGGATGAAAGTTCGGCTGCCTGAAATATTAAAGAACAATAACAATCAAATTAGAAAAGAACAATTTCATTGCACAGAATAAACTAAGAAAAACAACTGTACTACCCAGAAAGAAATTGTCATGATAACAGAATGAAAACAGTTCCTTTGGTGCTGCTAATACCAGGAAGGAGTAAAAAGATTCTAATTTGAAATCACTATATAAATAAAAAAAGTCTATCAGTTTTGTTCATTCCATTCATTGTAGTTTTCCGTGACATTAACAGTTCTCTGTTACTGTCTTTCCCTGTAACAGTTCTTTCCCTGACAGTAGCAGTGTAATTTTTGCATTTTTAGGTTTTCATTTTTTTAAGTACAGAACTTGCTGTGACAAAATGATGAGGCTGCAATACAAATGTGCATATGAAAACTAGTCATAACTGAAAAGTCCTCCTCAGTCTACCCCAGAGGCAGGTGGCTCAAGTAATGGCTTTAGTATTCAGTTGGATTTGTTGGGTTGAATTCTGTGAAGTGAAAACTCACAAGAGTGGAAGGTCTTCAGGCTCACATTGGGGCTTAATGAAATGATTTAGAAATGATTCCAGCACCATGTAGCTGTCTTGTTTGTTTAAAAAAAAGGTTTTCCAATGCTGTTATGGTAAATTCTTGATGATGATGTTGATGATTAAGAGCTCATATATATTGATAGGTTACTGTGTATTAGCCACTGTTCTAAATATTCCTCAAAAATGGTCAAATTTAAACAGTTCTTAAATATGCAGGTTTTTATCTTTTAGATAAATGTTCCCTAGTGAAGTTTTCCTGCTTCTCAAAGTCAAGTGACAAATTGATGAAATAGGTGAATTAGGGGTGACACATACCCTCCCCTCTATTACTTCTCTGCAGTTCTGAGGTTTTAGGATAAAGAAATGAGGAAACGTGATTGAGATAATCCTGAACCATTTGGGAGGAAATGGAAAGAAAAGATAAAAACTCTTTGAATACGCTTTTCTTCCTAGTACTAATTCAGCTAGTTTTTAGGTGCCCTAAGTCATGGGATGACGAAGAATCAGACATGACTTAGCAACTAAACAAGTAAATATATTAATAAATAGTAGGAAACTACTAGTGATTGTGCCTGTGGCAACCTACTCCAGGATTCTTGCCTGAAAAATCCCATTGACAGGGTAACCTGGCGGGCTACAGTCCATGGGGTCGCAAAGTTGGAAATGACTGAGCGACTAAGCACAGCACAGTACTAGTAATAGTGCCTAGCTTTTTACTAAATATCTGTCATGTGTCAGGCACTGTGCTGATGAATTACATGTGTTAGATCTATATTCCCCCTTGAAAGGATTTCATGCTTTGCAAAATAGATCGTCATCAGATTACTTGAATATTAACATTCCAATGTACATTTATAGTATTCTGCTAACTGCAATGAGAAATTATTTCATCACTATTTGGAATAATAATTCTTGTATAAAACAGTTCTACCTGTAAGAACAAACCACTCTGGACAGACAGCAGACTTTCCTTCAAGCTTTCCTGATCAACCCTCATCTCCAGTCTTTGCCTTTTACTAGGTTGTCCCTGGCACAGAATTTTGCATCTAATTATATGATGCCTCACATTCCCTGTTATTCTGGTTAAAGTTTTCTTTTTGTCTAAATATACTCTAAATTCGAGAGTATTATCCATTACTTTTATGTTTCTGGAAACCTGAACATAATAATAGCTACAAATTAGGTACTTAATAAATGATTCTGAAATAAATGAGTTAATGAATAAATAAACAGACTTTAAATTGCCATTCTTCACTTAATGGACAGATTCTAAGGAGCTCTATATGATAAATCTACATTATAAAGTCAAAAATTTTCAAAAAACAGTGTTGCCATTTTTTTTTAATTTGCAGAAGTAGTTCTCAAACTTTTTAGACTCGGCATTCCTTTATACTTAAAAATAATTGAGGGAACTTTCCACTAACTAAAATTCTATGCTCCCAATGCAGACGGCCCGGGTTCCATCCCTTGTCAGGGAACTAGATCCCACATGCCACAACTAAGGCCCAGTGCAGCCAAATTAAATAAATAAAAAATGATTGAGTACCTCAGTGAGTGAGCTTTGGTTGTTGTAGGTTATATCTAGTGATACTTACCATTCAGTTCAGTTCAGTCGCTCAGTTATGTCCTACTCTTTGTGGCCCATGGACTTGCAGCACGCCAGGCCTCCCTGTCCATCAGCAACTCCTGGAGTTTACTCAAACTCATGTCCATTGAGTTGGTGATGCCATCCAACCATCTCATCCTCTGTCATCCCCTTCTTCTCTCGCCTTCAATCTTTCCCAGCATCAGGAAACCTGAACACAATACTAGTGACAAATTAGGTACTTAATAAATGATTCTGAATAAATGAGTTAATGAATAAATAATCAGACTTTAAATTACTATTACTCATTAAAACCGAGATATGTCTACTTAAAGAAAAATGCTCAATATGATAGCTGTAAGTTTAAGTTTTATTTGGGGTCTTAATTCCTTAATAACTCAGTTGTTAAAGAATCCAACTCCAATGCAGGAGACCCCAGTTTGATTCCTGGGTCAGGAAGATCTCTGGAGAAGGGTAAGGCTACCCACTCCAGTATTCCGGCCTGGAGAATTCCATGGACTGGACACAACTGGGCAACTTTCACTTTCACTTTCTTTCAATGAGAATTTCAGCACAGGAGAGAGTCTCTCAGGAGCTCTGAGAAAACTGCTCCAAAGGGTAGGGAAGAAGCCTGTATATATGTGTGTGTGTGTGTGTGTGTGTGTGTGTGTGTGTGTATGAATTTGGGCTAGGGAACATGTGGAGTCAAGCAGACATCTTGGTAGTCACAAATAACCAATATCTAAAGTTAATGATTTTAGTGCTTTTCTTTAGGAAGATGCAAGAATCTGGTCATTGAAGTTCTTCCCAAGATATACATCTAACTATCCAAGAGGCCTGCTCGTCCACAGCACAGAGCACCCTGTTATGGTCTTGATTTCTTCTATCTGAACCACAGCGTGCTTCATCCTATTATGGTCTTGGTTTTCTCTGAGAGTGCACTGTTAGTCAGTGACTACAGTGGGTAACCGCTTAAAACTGGTAGAACTGGTTGGTGAGCAGTTCTCTTTGTTTTTCTTTGTTTACAGACATTTAAAAATATAAGAATATAAACACATATACTCTACTAGCTATCACAGCAGTGACATCAACACATGTCATGTAGCCCCTTGAAAACTCCACTGTACTCTTGTGAGAGAATAAGCATGAAAAGGACAAACACTGTCATAGTATTATTATGAAAATAGGTTAGACCTCACAGCTCCCTGAAAAGGTCTTGGAGAATTGATAAAAGTATTCCTCTGGATCACTGCATCAGACTATAGAAAGAGTCCAACTCGTAGCGACCCAATGGACTGCAGCCTACCAGACTATAGAAAGAGTAGTCTTTAATCTTAAGATTAAATTTGTGTTTTTTTACTTTTAAATTTAATCATGAATATTGCTAAGTGTTATAGATGGTTCAGAGGAACCAGAGATCAAATTGCCAATATCCGCTGGATCATCGAAAAAGCAAGAGAGTTCCAGAAAAACATCTATTTCTGCTTTATTGACTACACCAAAGCCTTCAACTGTGTGGATCACAATAAACTGTGGGAAATTCTGTAGGATGGGAATACCAGACCACCGGACCTGCCTCTTGAGAAACCTGTATGCAGGTCAGGAAGCAACAGTTAGAACTGGACATGGAACAACAGACTGGTTCCAAATAGGAAAAGGAGTAC